CCCACCTGCAGCCTTCCCCCCCCAGCCCTGCCAGTGCCCCTCACTCCCAACTCAGAGCCCCTGCCGGTGCCCCTCCCCACCTGCAGCCTTCCCCCCCCAGCCCTGCCAGTGCTCCTCACTCCCAACTCAGAGCCCCTGCTGGTGCCCTGCAGACCCCCAGGTGCAGAGGGAGCGTTTGCATTATGATCCCAGTCGACACGGCCCCAGGGCCCCCTTGCTTCCCTCTGTGGGGCAGAGACTTTCCAAGCAGCCCCCCACTTGTTAGGGAACACAGCGATCCCCAAGCAGCTTCTTTGCCCCGTGCCTCTAAAATCCCCTGCCCCAGAATCCAACTGCTCCCACTTCTACAGCCCCACCCCAATGTGCAGCCCCCTTTGCCCTCAACTCCACTGCCCTCCCTGTCGCAGCCCCAATCCCCCTCTGCCACGCGATGCCCCTTCCCCCAGTTCCTTTGCCACTTGGACCCCTCAATGCAGCCCTCCCCATCTCTGTGACCATTACCCCACTAGCCCCTCACCCCACATCCCTGCCCCATAAACCTAGTTCCCTCGCCTGCCACTGAGCTCACCCCAGGGATCCCTGTCCCTCTGCAGACCAAGCCTCTCCTTTGGGAGAACTGGGGAGCCCCTGCCCCCCCACTCCTTCAGGCTCTGGGCTGCCCCCTTACCTGGTGCTTCCCTGCTTCCACTCAGCTGGTGTCTCTGGGGGGCTCCCCCTGACTTCAGCAGTGACCCCACAGCAGGGGAAGGGTCCCCAGTTCTTGGGAAAGGAAAAGGAGGTGCAGCAAACTAGGCCCCTTTTCCCAGCACGCTGCCTCCTTCCCGGGGCTGTTGTGCCTCGCTCTGTGCCTAGCAATAGGGCCTTCCCTCCGTGCCACCCTGCTTCCACTCAGCTGGTGTCTCTGGGGGGCTCCCCCTGACTTCAGCAGTGACCCCACAGCAGGGGAAGGGTCCCCAGTTCTTGGGAAAGGAAAAGGAGGTGCAGCAAACTAGGCCCCTTTTCCCAGCACGCTGCCTCCTTCCCGGGGCTGTTGTGCCTCGCTCTGTGCCTAGCAATAGGGCCTTCCCTCCGTGCCAGGGCCCTATATACGCTGCCCCCCCCCCCCCGCAGGCGGCTCTG